CTTATAACAGATATTATGAAAAATTTCAGAAATCCTTTTAAGACTAATAATATACATTTTATAATTTTAAGAGTTTTGATGAACAAATATAAGATTACTAACTTCTAAATAGACTATTATTTAATATTGAAGATGAAGAAATTTCTAAAGATTATAATCTATTAGAAAAAGATTCTTCTGACTTTAAGGATTTCAATGGAGAATATGATATATACTTCCTAATTTTATATTAGCAATACTCTTTATCTAGATTACCAAATATATGATATGTAAGTATTATTTTTAAATAAATTAGTTTAAAATTATTAACATACTAATATAATTATTTATTCATATAACAACCTCTACATATGAAAATCTTTCTAAAATTCTTACTCATCTTAAGTATCAAAAAGAAGATATTATTACAAATATTCGTTAGATTTATAAATAGTGAGATAGATTATTATTAATTAAAGTATGCAAATACAAAGTACCTCTTTGTATATAACAAATATCATCTACATATGAACCTATTAAAATAACATTTACTATTTCTCTGATAACTTATCTGAACGTATTTTAAATAATTCAATACTTATATCAAAGATGTATTTTAGACCCAGAGTGATTTCAGATAAAAGACAAGAATTTTAACATAGTAAACTCTGGTAAAATTCACCAATATTTGGAGAGCATGAAATAGAAATCAACAATAAAGGTTAGTAACAAATGTTTTGTAATATTTATGTTTGAAAAATTAACAACTAAATATTTTTTTATTTAGTATATAAAGCAGACGATTTTTTAGAATATCATAAATAATTTTTAATATTTATAGTATATGCTATATACGAAGTATAGTAGTTAACAAAACTAATAATAATTCATTTAAACAAAAATTAATCAAATTTTTTCACATGAAAACTTTTCTAACTGCTGTTCAACTGACAATTAATATACTCATGAAAATAGCAATAAGTTATAGCTAGTTGAAGATAAAATAAATTCAGTTAATCTGACAAGTGTAGAATAACATATTATTATTTGATTATACGATATACCAGAACCTGAAGAATATGAATTTTATATCAAAGAAATTGTATATTGATTCAATAGCAAGTGGAAATTCTGTGATATAAAAATGAGACATCAATTACCTTGTGAATACATTACATTCACATGATTACTATAACAACTTCTCATTTTAAAGGTTTTTATGAATATTTATTTCAATGATTTCAGTATTTACAGAAATGTGTATCATTCTTTAGGTGAAGTATATTTATAGTTTGAAAATATGCTGCTAACTTTTTAAAAACTAGAGGCCAGAACCAGTTATCGATATCAGATTTATAATCAGTTTTTATCGTATCAGATTAAAACTGATTCAAAATTTTGTAAAATTGATAACTGATTATATTTATAATTGATAACTGATTTTTATTAATTTATAGTATAGGAGTACAGATGATGGTAAATTCTGTCATTTTATTTAAAAATTAATTATATACATATATTATTATATATTATTGTAAATATTTATATTAATTTTATTATAGATACTATAAAAGTAACCTACAGATAAAAAAAAATTTAAAAATATTTAATAAAAATTGTATCTCTCTTCAATATGCAACAAAAAAAATGTCTAATCTTAGTAATCCCATAGGATTTATTAGTAGCTTAAGTATTAAATGCCTCATTTAAGATTGATTTATTTATTTTTCGATGTTAATTAATCTATATTTCAAGAATAATCTCAAAATTCATTAATCATTATTTCAATAAAAAAAAATGTTATCTTTATCAGTTTTAATACTGATAATAATACTAATACTATCTGTTCTACTAGTTCTAGTTCTACTTCTGCATAATTAAATAATAAACGAAAAAATGAAACTCTAATATAACTGCTAACTGTAATAATAAAAGTCATACTTCTTTTTTTCTGAAGAGACGAAAATAACTCTGAATTAGTATATTGTAAAATATATGAGCTTAATTATTCAGAAACTAATAAAAAATCCTATGCATATATCCAAAAATGGAAATATAATAAGTACGATAAACTATTTATGAGATAGTTATAATATAACTAAAGAAAATTATATTCAACACTTAAATGAACATGGTGAGATACAATTATTTCAAATTTAAATTTGCATTTTAAGAATGTAACTTATACTAATAACTGCTAATTTATTTATTAACCAAAATTTGATCAAAATAAAATTACCAATTATTATAATAATACAGTAATAGCATCATCATGTTCAATTAAAAAATAAGACTTTTATCAAGAAAATTAATACAATTTATTATTAATTTAGTCTTACCCCTTTATATTTTAGAAAATAATTTTTTTCATGATTTTATTTTTATGTGTAAACTAGGATTCTGCATTCCATGTGTTAAAATTGCTAAAAAAAGAACTAATACATAAAGTATATAATTAGAGCTATTATCAATTTAGCTCATTACTTCAAAGTAGCATAATAAGCATTTATTTGACTACTGATTTATAAACTGCAAAATCCTGAAATAGTTATTTAGACATTACAACTTTCTAGTTATATTCTAATTTCAAGTTTTGAGAAGCTCTTCTTTCTTACAACTATCTTCTATATCTATATACTGGGAAAGTAATTAGTGAAAATTATTTAAAATAATTTCTGAATGGCATTTTCAAATAATAGTTTTTACTAAATAATAATTATATTAGTGATATAGAATATCAACCTTATGCAGCGCATACTTTATAATTATTAGTCTAAAAAGAACTAAAACAATGTAAAGCTATTCATTATCATGTCAAAAGTTTGCAAACCTTTTTTAGCTTCCTAAGCAGGCTCAACGTTTATATGAAGTACAAAATAATCAAGATGATGGAGATTTTATTTAAAGTCCTCTTAACCTTCTAACAGATATTAAAACATAATAAAACTCTACCTATTTAGTTTGAAAGTGCATTCTAAAATTGTATAACTCAATGAGATTTATTTTAATTTCACTTCTTTCAGAAACAAATCATGTTTCTCAAAAAGAAGGTAAAAAACTACAGTAAAAAAGTAATATACTTTTTTTATTTAACTTTATTATCAATTGTCTCATTTTATTTTTTAATATACAAAAAAGATAAATTTCATATTTTAAATATAATTCAAAATTTTAACTCTTATTATTTATTTATTTTGTAGATTTATACAAAATGTAGTAAAGCTATTAGAACTGATCAAAATTGTGACTTAGCATTTATGTGATGCAAGCTATCCTACTCTTAATCTTATTAATCCTTTTATAGAATCTCATAAAAAATAATTTGTTCTAAGATCAGATAAAGAAGAGATTATCGAATCTTATCAAATTTTATCTATGAAAATTATAAAGAAAGTGATGATAAAATAACTGACCCAATAAAAAATTTGATATAAAAATTCCATAAAAATATAAAGTTTTATAATATATAATTTTTATGGAATTTCAGTA